CCTCGTGATCGCACAGGCTGGTGTGCTTCTTCCATGTGGGCTTTGTTGCTACTGAGCTAGATGGCCGCTTGTTTACCTTCAAGCCTTTAAGACCAATTTTGTTTTTTTTAATGAGTTTTTATAATTATGAACTAGGTAGGGAGGGGTGTTACTTCAAACACTACCTTACACACACACACCTTTTCTCATCTGTCTATGGGCCTCTGTCCGCCTCTACATCAAAGTCTATGCTTCCCTCCCTCCCCTTCCTTGGGAGCCTCCAAAGTCTGTTCCTTTGGGTGTACTGGTCTTTCTTTCTAGTAGTGATCTGAGTTTCTCCTTTTGTGACTGGGTCACTTCACTCAGTAGAAGGGTCTCCAGGTCTGGCTAGCTATGTCAGGAGATGCTTCATTGTTAGCAGTGCACAGCATTCTGTTTCATTAGCCCGTCCTTCTGATAGGCTTTTGGGCGGTTTCCAACTTCTTGCTGTTGTGAACAGTACTGCGATGAACAGGGACGTGCACGTGTCTGTTTTGTGTACTTAGGGTATATGCCCAGCAGAGGATTGATGGATTGTATGGAAGTTTTATTCCCAGTGATCTACATCAATTTTTCATTGAGTTTGGATTCAAGATCCACCCCCCACCCCCCATGCCCATCTTTTGTAGTTCTCACAGGGCAGCAGTTACCCCAAGTACAACTGCTGTAGCTGGTGTGGAACAGACTCAGTGGCCTGAGGGGTGACAGCCAGGCTCTGCACCACCCCATGGAGAGTGGTCAACCCTGGTCAGAGGCTGAGAGCTGGCATTTCATTATTTGGTGATGCCACCAGCAGGCCAGGCCAAGAGCACCTGGACTTGAGTTTTGGTTAAAGAGGAGGATGAAGAGGGGTTGGGTGGTGGCATGTGGTCTGGGAGCAAGTGTTTGGAAAGGATTGGGTCCCTGGAACCATGGTGCAGATGTGGTCCTGGCCTCCCACAGCCATTAGCAAGGAGCGTCACATGCTGTCTGTCTGCAGGAGGACATTGCAAAGCTGCTGCGATACGAGTCCTCGGCCCTGCCCGCTTGGCAGATGACCAGCCTGGTGGACTACGGTGGCCGCATGCAGGCCGGCACCCGCAACATCTATTACCTGTGTGCACCCAACCGGCACTTAGCAGAGCACTCGCCCTATTACGAGGCCATGAAGCAGAAAAACATGGAGGTTCGTAATGGGGGGCATCAGTCCCAGGTGCTGGGCACCAAGACTTAGAACCCCCAGTGCCAAGTCTGATGTCGATAGTGTTTCTGGGACAGAGCAGGCTTTAACGTACAGTTCTGTGAGCTCCAAGTCAGGACAGGGACACTCCTGCCGTGCCAGACATGCCCCTGACTGCCGACTGCCCCCAGGTGCTCTTCTGCTACGAGCAGTTTGATGAGCTCACCCTGCTCCACCTGCGGGAGTTCGATAAGAAGAAGCTGATCTCCGTGGAGACTGACATTGTGGTTGATCACTATAAGGAGGAGAAGTTTGAGGACGGGGCCTCAGGTTAGTGTCGTCCTCCTGCGCCCTTGACCTGCCACAGCTCATTAATACAAGGTCCTTGCAGTTTACTTGTAGCCTTCTGCTGGGAAGAGACGGGGCTGTTTGCGTTTATCTTCATGGAAAATTGTAGACCCCAGGACTCTCCATTAACTCCCAACATGGCCAAGTTTCCTGACTGTAGTAGTCCTAAAGCTTCTGGGGGGGAAGGGGGTGCTGGCCACGTGTGTGAGGGTTGGGCCCAGGTCCCTCTGCTTTCAGGAGTGGTTATGACCAGGGGGGTAGGGGCTACTCTGGGCTGACTCACTTCTCTGCAGCGGACGAGCGCCTGTCAGAGGAGGAAACGGAGGAGCTGATGGCCTGGGTGAGAAACGCACTGGGGTCTCGCGTCACCAACGTGAAGGTGAGGGCGTGGATGGGCGACACTGTCTCTTGGCTATCTAGGAGGGGTCTTCATGGAGATCTTAGGGGCACAAAAGACAAAGGCCTGGTGGGGGCATCCTGGGGCAGAGCTTCTGTGTCCTGAAGGGTGGGAGAGCAGCAGCAGGCAGGCAGACTTGTCAGGGAGTGTTGGGAAACAACCATTCAGACGGGTCCCCTTGTTTAGCAAGCACCCTACCAGCATGTGTGCTGGGGCAGACCGAGCACAGCTTGCCTGACCCTCAATACAGTGCCCAATGCTGTGTAGATGAGGGCAGGGGCCTCTCTGGGTTTCCGCTGGCAAGCGTGGTCAGGCCATGCCCTGGGCTGTGTGTGTATCATATGTTCCAGCCCACACTGAGGGGTTCACGGTGGTGCAGGTGTCAGAGGCCTTCAGTGTTATGGACCAGTTAGACCCTGATGCCTCTGGGAAGAGGAAGGCAAGGCTGGCCTTACTGCTGTGTGTGCATTTAGGACAGGGCCCTTTCGAAACCCGGGTGTCCTCTGTCCATCTTGGCTGGAGCTTTTCCGTCTCAGAAGTGACTGGTTCAAATCGGAGACCACACTCAAGTGGCTTGTTTCCAAATGGGAGGTCTTCCTGAGGAGGGATAGTCATTCTGCGCAAGGCCTCTCCCATGGGAGACCTCTGTCGGGTTGTCTGGGGGTGGGTGGTGGGGGTGGCATGCCTTCACCCCAGCCCTCGTTGCAGGTGACCCTGCGACTTGACACTCACCCGGCCATGATCACTGTGCTGGAGATGGGGGCTGCCCGGCACTTCCTGCGCATGCAGCAGCTGGCCAAGACTCACGAGGAGCGTGCTCAGCTTCTGCAGCCCACCCTGGAGATCAACCCCAGGTGAGTGCTCACTCTCAGCGACTTTTGACACTTCAAACCTGAACAGGTAGATGAATGGTTGTTGGGAGACCTGGGTCAGAGTGGTGCCATCAGGCATGCCTGTTGCTGCTCCACAGGTAAGTACTGGCTGACTTTAGAGTTACTTTCAGCTCCAGAGAGGGGCTGCAAGTCTTGATTTCACCATAATCAGATTGGAAAAGTGTTAGATGATATTTTGGAGAATTAAGTCCTTCCCAACAGCCTCTGAAACTGTGGCATTATTCTCTGCCTTTAAGTTCCAGAAGCTTTGGGCCTTTCATTCTGGCTTTTAACCCATCACCCACAAATCCCTATACTTGCTTGGCCTCCCCCACCCCTTTGGCATAAAGTGTATCTGCTTTTGCAACACCATAGCCTGCTTTGAGAACGACAGATCCATCGGTGGTCACTGTGAAGGGGGGCCCAGGTTGCCAGTGTGTTGTCCCTAACCACTCTCTGGGGCTTGAAACAAGCCACGTCCATCCTGACTCAGCCTGTGTAGGTCAGGTTCCAAGGCTATAGAGCAGCACTTCTCAACCTGTGGGTCACGACCCCTTTGGGGGTTGAATGCCCCTTCCACAGGGGTCACCCGATTCATTACAGTATCAGAATTAGGTATGAAGTAGCAATGAAAATAATTTTATGTTTGGGGCCACCACAGCATGAACTGTACTCAAGGGTCGCAGCGTTAGGAAGGTTGAGAACCATGCTCTAGAACTTTTTCCTTCAGAAGAGCGGGTAGGTCTGCACTGCGGACCCCGGGGGACACTCTCCTCCAGAACAGCCCTGCTTGGCACAAAATGGCCAGGGGAGCTGCTATGAGGATTAGCACCAAGATAACCTGTGTGCTTGCTGTGAGGTCTCATCAACCCTGAGGCACAAACAGGGCCCGCCCTTGCCCACTGTAGGGAAGTCTGAACAGGTGCACCAGGACCTGTTCAGCCTTATGTGGGTGCCAGAAGAGGCCCCCTGCTGGCCTGACCCAACGATCTGCTCTTGGAAACCTTGTGGGGCAAATTTAAGTCTGCTGTCAGGGTTGGTTTTACACGTGATACATGCATCCTCCAGTTTCTAGAGAAAGGTTGACCTGTGTTGTCAGTTTACCCTTCATTCTGGCTACTTGATTTGTTTAGAGAAGTGTTTCTTGTTCTTGGAAGGGGAAGGCAATGCTGTTGGTTTTATTTTTTACACCTGACCTTGTTTGATGCACATGGAGTTCATTTGCCAAGTCCTGGGGTCTGTTTCTGCCCTGGAGTAAGTACTAGGGTTTTATTAGCTTGCTTAGGTGTACTTTAGGGGGCCCTTCAGTGGTGGTTGAATCTCCTGGTTTAGCAAGAGGCTGTTCTTTCTGCTGTTCTAGTCTGTGTACCTCTGGTATTGCAGGCATGCACTGATCAAAAAGCTGAGTCAGCTGCGTTCAAGCGAGCCCGACCTGGCCCTGCTGCTCGTGGACCAGGTGAGAGCTGGGGCCCCACCCACAGCACCATTTCCCTGCTGTGTGGGGCTGGGGACTGAGCACCTCTGCCTTGCAGATCTATGAGAACGCCATGATCGCAGCAGGCCTTGTGGACGACCCCAGACCGATGGTGGGCCGCCTGAACGAGCTCCTCACCAAGGCCCTGGAGAAGCACTGAGAGAGGACCAGCCCGTGTGCGCCGAGTGGCAAGCAGTGAGGAGAGCCTGATGTAGTGTTGAGCCCTCCACCTTGAGTTTATTTACCTCCATTAAAAGTGATTTTTCAATCTAAATGTCCTGTGTGCTGGGATGGGAGGGATAAGGCCTGGGGTCCACACTCCCATCAGTTTGGCCGCAGCAGCTGTATCTCGACGGGATAGTGGTCACTGATGGCTTGGGCCTGAGGGAAACCCGCAGTCAGGATATGGGCAGGGTGGCCCCTCTGAGAGCACAAAGGGCAGGACCTACCAACTGATCACTCAGGCCGTATGCAGCTTGGAAGTCAAAGGGCTGGGCCGAGCTGGGAACAACAGCGTCCTGGAGTTCTTCTCCAGCAACCACAATCCTGCAACGTAACAGCACACATCAGTTACCAGGTGTCCCAGCTCATGACTGAAGCCTCAGGTAACCAGGCACCAGTGCCTTGGAGAAGGCAGTGAGGAGGCTCAAACGGTAGGAAGCCCCCTTGTTCTCCTGAGGAGCCCCGTGGGTGCTAACTGCAGGCCTTGTGGTTAGCAGCTCAATTCATAGTGCCCTGAAGTCTTCAGAGGTCTCAGGACATTTCCTTTTGCTCACTGCTATTGTAAAATACCCAGAAATCCGGTGAGAAATTGGTGCTCACAAAACCATTCTGGACATTGTGATACGACAAGCAATCTTAAGTCCACCCCCATCAGCATTCCTTCACAAATAGACAAGCCAGCCCTCGGCTGTGTGTGGAAAGAAGGGCAACTCACTTCTAATTTAAAAACACAAAGCAGGATCATTGCTTCACACAAGGTGAATGCGAAAACAAAAGCCACATTCATAGAATGTAGGGGGCATATACCTCAGGTCTATAGTAGGTTTTTTGGGGGGGGGGCTTATTTTTTATGACACTTCGCATATCAACTTATATTGGATCTAATACACAAAGCATATAAAGTTGTCATTGAGGCAGACTTGAACAGACAGCCAAAAAGAGTAGAACTCTCCTCTGTCTTCCGTGGAGCAGCTGGTGGTTTTGAACTGCCAACCAAGTGATTAGCTTAAAAAGCAGAACCACTATGCCACCAGGACTCCTCAGCCATTAAGGAGGTGCACATCAAAACCACCATGAAATAGCATCTCGCCTCCATTCTGATGGCAATGGTCAAAAACAAAACGGGGTGTTGGTATGAAGAATGGTGTAGCTGCTGTAGGAACTGAATACAGAACCACCCCTCAGAGAAGCCAAGGTAAACACAAGGTGTGCCCCAGTGTTCACTGTGACACTTCACGACACCCCAGGGGACGAATGGGAACACCAGAAGGGAGGTCCTGGAACTGAAGGAAATAGCAGAAGGACTGTGTGACCTCCCTCAGGTTACTAGGTTAACTGGTGGAAGGGTGGTGGAGGCCTCCCGGAGCTAGTGGGTGCTGGGCTGTTTCCCACCGCCATCTAAACAAGGGTCTCCAGCAGCACACATTGCTGTGGGATGTCCTGGCTGCTCGAGGCCAGCTCACCTGTCATAGGGACAATGCGTGGACTTGACCGTGGTGTCCGCCGAGTCAGGGATCAGCCACTGGAACATGGGGCTGGTGCGCAGGCGGATGCTCCCCCACTGGGAGGGGCTCACGTAGCTGCAGCCGGCATTGAAGTCACCCATCAGGATGACATTCTGTGGAGGTAAGTCTGGTTACCCTGGGTGGGTCAGTCAGCAGGGGGTACAGGGCTTTCGGGCAGGTGGGGCTCACCTCTAGGCCCCACCTCCTCTGGACATCCAGGTAGACGTCATAGAGCGCATCAATCTCCGTCACTGCATCCAGCGGAGCCGAGTGCAGAGGGACGATGGCAAACTCCCTGGCCTCTGAAGGACACATCACACTGACGGGACCCTCAGGGAGCTGCGGACCAGTGCAGGAGGGTGGAAGAGGGGAAGATACTCACTTGAGCTGGGCACAGAGACCTTGACCACAGTGGGCTCCCGGGCAAAGGTGTCATTCCCACAGGGCTCGCAGCCATCGTCATACTGGTAGCTGTCCAGCACAGACACTTCTGACGGCCTGCAGGCAGCAAAGAGGATCACTTGTGGCAGAGGCTGGCCCAGCCCCACCCCCGCCTCGGGTCTCCAAGCACAGCCAAGAGCAGGTGCGTTCGGCCCAGCCTTACCTGAACAAGAAGAGGTAACGCTCCTTGTAAGTGCTGCGCCCCAGCGGCTCGCTCACCACAAAGTGGTAGTTGTTCGGCTCAAATCTGCAGGCAGGAGGAGTTAAGACACCCTCGTCAGGCTCCAAGAAAACTCACCTTCCTCACTCCCAGGGTCCTCCTCACTCACTCGTTCAGGAGATCCAGCAGCTTCCCCACAGCCGTCAGGTGGCTGTCCCTGACCTCCTGCACCAGGACGAGATCATAGCGACTCACCACCTGGAGTGGGGTAGGCAGGGCATTACTACACAGGGGGCCTTCGGACTAGACCCATGCAGTGAATGAGAACCCTGCAGTGACCACAGCCCTGTCCCACCACTACTGAGGGGCTGGGACAAGATGTGCAGTGTGGCTGTGCCCCTGCACCCACTGCATGCAGTGACTCCTTGTGACATGCCCTGCCACCCACTCACCTGCACAATGTAGTGAGAGAGAGTGGCATTGGACATCTTGGTCTCCCCGAAAGTCTGGATGTTGAAGGCAGCTATTCGCAAGTGTGGAGTTGTCTCAGCACACTGCAGCACCCCGGCCAAGGCCCACAGTGCTCCCAGCAGCCAGGGGGCACTCATCCTGCATGGGGAGCACTGTCCAGGTGGGTCCTAGGGCACTGACATGAGGACCAGGTGTGCCCTGCACCTCACCCCATGTCCAGCTGGGGTAGACAAGATTAAGCCAACCCTGTCTCGTCTCCCAGAGCTCAGGCCCAGGGAGCCCCCAGACCCTTCACCACTGCACACAGAGACCAGAACATGCTGGGGTTTCTCAGTGTCAGGATGAGCCCTGTGGCCCCGCTCCCAGTACTCAGGGAAGGCCCTGGCTGCGTGGCCCTGGGATGGCAGACCCTCTCACCTGAGACGCAGCTTCGGCTGGGATCGGAGCTGATAACTGGACCTGGGTCTCGCACACTCAGGGGCGCAAGTGCCACCCCTATAAAGATCCAGGTGGCCGTGACCTCACCTGCGCCAGCCCATGAGGTGGGAGGAGCTGGCAGGCGTCCCTGCTGCTGTGAAAACAGCACCTGACAATCAAATCTGCCCTGGCTGGGACGTGGCCAGGGACAGGGCAGCACTGTGACCTTCACACATGCATGCGTTCCCACAGCTCACATCCAGGGCCACAAGAACCCATGGGGCTGAGGCCTGTGGCTCACCTGGGGACCTCTAACCCTCCTCTCCCTAGCCGCTGGTCCTCAGGCTTGTGGTTCGCCTGCAGTGGAGGTCAGTGACCCACCTCTTCTGGAGACAGACAGGCCAGGTAACTGAGCAGTCACAGAGCAGTGCCCTCTGGAATATTCCTGACCTTCCTTCCCTTGGTGTTCGTGCCAGGGCGGCCCGGACCCAGGGCCCAGAGTGGGCACCTCAGAGCCACCCGGACCCCTCTGACAACTCCGGAGGTGAAGTCCCGATCAAGGAGTAGTCAGGGCAGGGCCAGTTGCACACCGAAGGTTTCAGGGTCCATCCTCAACCCTTCCAGCTTCTGGGGCCCACGTGGCCCCTGGCTTGGGGCCTGTCACTGCAATCTCTCCACGGCCATGCTGCTGCCTCTGCTGTCTCTGTCTCACATTAGCCAAGGCTCCCCAGCTCAGGACCAACCACACCACAGAGGCCACGTCCCCAGGTTCCCCCTTCTGGGACTGGACTCGGCTCACCAGTCCAGCCCAGGGGGCTCTCCCCGACGGAGGGGGTGCTGCTGGACCTCCCAGAGGGAGGGCAGGGCTGGGTAGCAGGGCCTTCAAGTGGGAGGGGCCATGGCCATTGGCTGTAAAGCTGTGGAGACCCACGACGCAGGAGGACTTGCTAATAGGTTCCCAGTGCCCATCGCCCACACAGCAAGGTCACAGATCAGTCCCTGAGCTGTCATCTCCAGTTCCAAATCCTTGAAGGTGGACTGACCCCCATCAAGGCAAACCCCCAACCTGAATACAAACACAACTGGAGCCCCATAGAAATGGCCAGGGCCTCCCAACTCCCCTCAGCATGCCAGCCTAGGAGGTCCTTGGACTTGTGGTTGTCACCGTTCTTAAAATACTGGCGGCACAGCTTCCAACAGCACAGTAGCAGTCTGACATACGGGGCGTGTATATGAGGTAAGGCAACAAGTACTGCTACTGGGGTCTCACTCATGTGTGCGTTGAGTTTGTCACAAACAAAACAAGTTGAAATGGGTGCGCCCTTGGTAAATGGCTGCAGACAAGCTCTCTCAGGAATACACTGGTCTCAGTTTGGTGCCTTCAAAACTTTTTTTGAAAGGTCCAATCAAAACATGTGCTTCTAACGAGATCTGTTGGACCACTTAAATTCAAGGCAGAGGTATTAGCTCAGAAGGTTATGGGATCCCAGGAGGGTCGTCTTGACAGATTTTCTCTAAGGACAGAGAATAGTCACAGGGGTTAATTTGGAGAAAGGTTTCCAAAAATTGAACCTCGCCCTGGGAAGTTGAGCCGAGACTTCTTTCCATCATGGTAATGTACCTGCCCATTCTCCATGCGTCACAGGCCTGACCTCACCCTTTCAGACTGCTTTCGTCCCTAAGACTCAAAGAGCACCTATGAGGAAGCAGGGCTGAGTCCCCAGAGGGTGCCAGAGCAACCCTTGGACTCAGTGTGAATCAAAGGCTGAGAGAGATGGGCGCACTGTCCTGGGACGTGTGCCCACCCAGATGAGCCGATGTGTGGGAAACAAGAGCTTCACACGTGAGCGTTCGTCTCATCAAGATTTGTGTCTGTGGAAAAAGAACTAGGAGGGCCCAGCCCAGGTGGTGTTTTCTTCTGCTGAGCATTGGATCATGCATCGGAACCAACCCACCAGCTCTGACCAACAAGCAGAGAGCATGGCTAGACTTCTTCATTTACCCTCGTCTAAGTAGAAAAGTTCACGTGACACAGTGGCCAGGAAGCTGGGTGTCTGGGGAGCCCCTCCATGTCTAGTAGACATGGAGAGGCAGTTATGGGGCAGGGAAGGAGAAGGGAACCCGGCAGTGTTCAAAGCCAAGCCAACAGGGAAATGGGTGCTGCTCGCCTTCACAGTGGTGGTGGGTGGGAGGGGCTTAAAATCAACCATGAAGGGTTTCCTAAAGGACAAAGACAAGCTTCCGTGAGCCCCAGGGGAACATGATGGGGCAGGACAGATGACCTTAGGAGGAGAACGGTGTCTTTGTCTCTAGCAGGGTGCCAGTGTCACATTCAGCACTGCCAAACTGGGTGCCATGCACCCTGACCGTGCACCCACAGCAGGGCATGTAGTGTAGCTTTATGGGAAACAGTGATGTAGGTGCTGTACTTGCCACAGGCCCCACCTCCTTTCCACCAGTTGCTGAAAATGCCCCCTCTGTGGAAATCAAGGTAGTGGAGCCCACCAGGGCTGGGACCAATCTGACCCCGAGGATTGAGAACCAGACAGTGCCCCCAACAGACACCCTGTTGGCCAGTGGTTACTTAGGGAGGAACTCACGTCTGTGACCTTCAATGTGTGTGTAACCTTTTCACAAGTGCCTGCCCAGTGACTGTGACAGAAATTCGTACCAAGAGTTTGTGACTTGGCTCATTACTAAGTGGACTGTTAGACCCTTTGCTTTGCCTCATGTGTTGTGAACTGGCCAGCGTGGGGGCCTCTGGGACGAGTACATGGACAGCCACATGGTGCCCACTCCCCTCCCTCTGGGTTGGCTCTGGCAGGAGCAGAGGAGGCAGGTGCGAGGTCTGGGGTCCTGGGACTGAGGTGAGGCAGGAAGGCGAGCCCTGGGGCCTGTGGTCACCTCTGTGTCCCATTCGACGCCCTGAGTTTCCACCAGGCAACTCAACCTAAGGCTCAGGGTTTGTCAGAGGTCGGATTCATCTGGGCAGCCCCTCACCCCAGCCCCATCCCACAGACACCCCTCCCACTGGGACCCCCAGCACCCCTGCTTCCAGAAACCCATATTCTCATGAGACACCACAAGAATTTATGAAATCAAACTCTGTTGCCCCTGCTCACAATGTGTCACCAGTTCCTCCTCGTCCTTCTGACAAAGGCCAGGGCGCACCTGGTGGGGCTGGCCTCATCAAGGCTGCAGACCTCCTCTGCCCACCTGTAGGCCCCAGGTCATTCACCACGCCCTCCGGGCCACAAGAGCTCCTAGAGTCTAGAAACCACGGCCAGCTTGTTCAGGAAAACACCCCACCCCAATTAGCAGAGCAGGGAGCAATCCAGCAGCCCCTCATCCTCTCCAAACAGAGGACACTCTAGCCAAGACCCCAAAGGGGACGAGCCTTCCTACCCCACAGACAGAGGGCCTCTCCAGGCAAAAGGCCATGTCTTTGAGTTGACCTGGCCTGGCCGGGAGGGTCCTGTCAGTCAGCACCCAGTTCTGTGTGCTGGAGCTAGCTTGTGACTTGGCCTAAAGAAACCATTAGCCAGGATGGAAAATTCCTCAGCACAACAGATCCCTCATTCCAAACTCAGTCCAACCCCAGAGCTCTGCCCACAGAGCAGCGAGCACCAAGTGAGGCCTCTGCCGGTTATCTTGGCCGGCCCGGCTCCCCACCCCCAAACTCCTCCTCTGCACTCTGCTGCCAGGAGAGGAGCAGATGAAACGGAGTCCCAGGGGCATTCTAAATGGGGGACATGTGAGATTTGGGCTCCCAAGGGTACAGGGAGGCCCTGAAAGACCCTCCTCACAAAGTCCTACTTCCCAGGGCCTGAAAATGGCCTCCCAAATGCTGGTATGACCTTTCACCAGGATGTCCATAAAGTGTCCCACATCCCCCCTCCCAAAGCTGCAGTCATCTCAGCCAAGCACAGAGCCTTCCTGGCAGCCCCCCTCCCCCTATCCCAGGCCGGGGGTGCACACAAGACACATGGTCTCTGAGACGTGCACTAGTGACCCTAGACACAGTGCTACTTTCTGCTGTCTTCCAGCCCCTAAATCCTCTCTCCAGCTGCCTCTGATCTGGTATAAAATCTACTTACTTGTATTTTCATTCCAGCTATTATGATTCTGTTTTAGAACATCCACTTGCTTGTCTGTGAATTCTAGTCTTCTATGAAATCTTCATTGTCATCCCCTCATTTCCACGGAGCTGAGAGTTGGTGGTGACTCAGCCACCCTGGAGGACAGAGGAGAGCTGCCCTTGGGCACTTCTGGGGCTATTCATCTTGAAAGACAGGCACAGGCAGCCTGTCTTTCTCCCCAGGAGTAACTGGTTTGTTCGAACCATTGACCGTGTGGCTAGCAGCCTACCCACATAAACCACTATGCCACCAGGGTTTCTGAATACATGAGGGCTTCAAAAAGCTCTGGGGGAAATCCATTATCTTTTAAATCCCATTTTGCCATGAACTTTTGCCAGCTCCCTGCACAGAAGCTTCACCATGCCCCCGGCCCACCCACGGGCAGGGGTGGAGCTGTGGCCCGCTGATTTGCCATCCTTTCCAGGCCAGGCTGCCTCTGGCTTGTCCACCTCCTCTAGGGCCCCCAGCCGAGGTGCCCAGCCAAGGGCCAATGTCCTTGTCACTTCGCTCTGAAAGTGGACATGCCAGGAGGTGACATTCTCCTTCAGGAGCCCTCTTTGCTGTTCCTCAGACACAGCAGCCGTGCCGTGTCTGTCCTTAGCACTCCTGGGGGGTTGGGGACCTGCAGCTGGCTAGTCCCAAGGCCACTTTCTTTGTGGGGACTCTGCCCACTGGGCCATGTGGGCATCCTGGATTCTGGCCAGACCTGCATGGGAGTCACTACCCGGGACTGGCTGCGGGACCACCTTGGGTACCATCGTTGGTTTCACATGGACATTGCTGTCTCCGGTGCTCAGCGGGGGTGGGGGACTCAGCAATGTGGGGGGCTTCCATCAGAACTGAGGGGTCAGACCAGGTCTGCCCCACAGCCACTCCGCAAGAAGCCCGGGCCACTTACCCTGTGTGCTGCAGCCGTCCCCCACGGCGGGACCCAGTGCAGAACATCGGTCCCGTTCAGCTCCCTCCCGCCTCGTCCTCTGTGGACCCAGAGCCAGAGGGGTCAGAGGTAAGTGGTCTTGTCAGGCCTGTCCTCTGCTGACTTGGACTCTGGGGCCGGAAGGCGGTATTGGCCATCAAAGTCTTCCTTGGCTTCCTCTTCACCTGACCCCTGGGAGTGTCTCAGCTGACCGCCAATGACACAGCCACGCAGGGGCTCAGAGCCAGGCTGCCCCCACGTCCTCCTCATAGCTGGTGGCATCCTGCTTGTTCCTGTTCTCACCGTAACTGGTGAAGAAAAGAGAAAAGGGAAGCTGATAACATCAGGCTGCTTTTAGTAGCACCCCTATCTTCCAGAAACTTCATCACGCTCGTAACACTCATCCATGCACCTACAACCAAGTAGCAGCCTATTGGACAGAGGAGATGTGCCCAGGAGGGCTTATTGGGCTCTAATCCTTATGGAGACAGACAGCCTCATCTTTCTTCTACAGCAGGGGTTCTCAGCCTTCCTGATGCCGGGACCCTTTCATACAGTTCCTCATGTGGTGGTGACCCCCAACCATAACATTATTTTCGTTGCTACTTCATAACTGTAATTTTACTACTGTTATGAATCGTAATGTAAATATCTGATATGCAGGATGTATTTTCATTGTTACAAATTGAACATAATTAAAGCATAGTGATGAATCACAAAGACAATATGTAATTATATATTGTGAAATATTTATTTCTAATGACAAATCAATGAGATTTTGTCTGGAAGCATGGTGTAGCATGGGTAGCAGTCTTCACACCGGGTATTCATAGGTAGGCGTATCTGCATGTGGGCAGACCCACCTGGAGATGGATAGACGGATAGAGCAGTGTCTCGGTTCCTAAAACCATCGGAAATATGTGTTCACCAATAGTCATAGGTGACCCCTGTGAAAGGGTCGTCTGGCCCCCAAAAGGGTTGTAGCCCCAGGTTGAGAACCACTGCTCTACAGAGTGGCTGGTGTGTTTGACCCCCCATGGTTAGGGTAATAACTCAGTATTGAAATGCTCTGCCGTCTGATTGAGTAACACAGACCCCTAAATGGTCAGCAGAGTGGACCAAAGCCAGGGCATGCAAGCTCCAGTCACAGTGTGGCACTGCCCCAAGAGGAGGGGCCTGAGCAGATCTACACCCACAACTGCACACCTGGGGGTGGCACAGGTAGGAGCTCTAACAGGACCCAGCTGGCTGGAAATTAGGAGGGAGGTACAGAGGGCCCTGAGTCCCCGTGGGCAACTGGGCTATACAGGAGTCACCAAGGAGGTAAGGGCAGAGCCACCCGAAAGGAGTGGCCAGAACACAGGTATCCCAGGGCTCCCAGGGCCATCCCTGTGGCTCAAACAAGGACCCTCTCTCAGGGCTCACAGGGGGACCCCGTGACACAAACATGAACCCTCTCCCAGAGTTCACAGGGGCACTCCTGGAGTTCAAACACGGACCCCTCAGGGTTCTCAAAAGCACTCTTGGG